AATTATAAATACAGTGGTTAAATGTAAAAAAAAATTTCTATTGCTTTTTGTTTTAAAATAGGTTCTAAAAAATGTCAATAATTATCGATACCGAACGATATGAAACATTATATTGTTGATACATTTTTTAGCTATATCGCCCAGCCCTAGTTCATGCTTAAAACAAGAACAAATATATGTAAATTTTCCTTTGAATTAGATAGATTTTACTGAGCCCATTGGCAGATATTTGGTCATGTTTTAGTCATAAACTCACTTAATTTTGATCAGTTTCACAGAAAACAAGACTCCTTATGTTATGTCGTTTTTCTTCTCAAGTAAATGTATCTTGATTTAAAAATCTCTAGTCATTTGCACTGGAAAACAAGACAAAAATACTGAGGAAAAAGAGCATTTTTTTGCAGTCTGATCTGAAAGTACAGTATTCTATTTCCATATTCTAATCCTTAACATTTTTTATTTTTGATAAACGAATTAAAAAGATCAGTTGGGGTTGTATTTTCAAATTTTGAAGCGGTGCTAATACAATATATTGACAGAACGTACATATTGTGTTCCCTTCAATTTATTCCTTAAAGGGGTCATATGATGCAATTTCATTTTTTCCTTTTTCCTTGGTCTTAAAAGGGTCTTTAAAAAGTCTTAAATTTACCTTCATAACACCTGCAGAAACCCTGTTTGTTCTTCATGCAGAAGCTGATTGCAAATTAATTTTTTGACTATTACATTTTCTTGCTTTGTCAGGCGTAAACGGCGTAATTTTAGTAAACAGGCCACAGAGGTCCTGAATGAGTATTTCTACTCGCATCTCTCGAACCCTTACCCGAGCGAGGAGGCCAAAGAAGAGCTGGCCAAGCAGTGCAGTATCACTATGTCTCAGGTGTGAGCTCCTCTATCAGATCTATTTTCTCTATCTAATAGGCTTGTTTTCTTTTGAGCGTTTGAAAGGAGCCTGGCTCTCAGTCCACTAAGGGAGCGTCCGGTCCTCGGAGACGGATCAGTTTAATTTTGGCTCTGAAATCATGACAGGTGTCCAACTGGTTTGGCAACAAGAGGATTCGCTATAAGAAGAACATTGGGAAGTTCCAGGAAGAGGCCAATCTGTATGCCATGAAGACGGCCTTAGGGGCGACACAGAGCGAGGAATCACCCCACACTCCAAACTCCACTGGTTAGTTCAAGTCTTTAGCTCTAACAGGGCATTTTCACACTAGTTTTGGAGATTTGAAATAGTCCTGAGCGGTATATTTAATACATATTAAGAAACAGCAACATTTACCTACATATAGTTTGCTGCAGCAGAGATAATGCAAACGAATCTCTTGAATCAGAGATCTGAATTGAATCATTGAATTTGATTCACGGAGGTGAATCGGTCAAATGAAATGAAACCAATATTGTGCAAAAACGATTTCAGGTATAAAGTGATTAAATATGTTTGAAAGCAATAACTATACATTTAGATGTTTAACAATATAATACAATGTTATAAATATATTACTGTTCAAAAGTTTAGGGTCTGTACATAATTGTAACTTTGTAAATCTCTAATGCTTACCAAAGCTGAATTTATGTGATCAAAAATACTGAAAAACATTATGAAATATTATTACAATTTAAAAGAACTGTTTTATATTTGAATATATTTTCAAATGTAATTTATTCCTGTGATGCAAAGCTGAATTTTCAGCATCACTACTCCAGTCTTCAGTGTCACATGATCCTTCAGAAATCATGAAAATATGCTGATTTGCTGCTCAAGTTTTTTTCAGGATTCTTTGATGAATAGAGTCTAGCGTTTATTTAAAATATAAATCTTTTCTAAAATTATAAATGTCTTTACTGTCACTTTTGATCAATTTAATGCATCTTTGCTTCAAATGTTTGAACAGTAGTGTGTATGACAACATATGTATTTCTAAAATGAAAATAACTGCTTGCTTTGTGTTTTGCTCCATTTGATTGACATGTATGTGCATGATGAACAAAGACCACAATATTTAATCACTTTCTGTTAGGATCTATTTTGCATAATGTTATATTGAAAGTATAACAGTAAAATTATAAATTAATAAATAAAAAATTATTAAAATGTACAGTGGTGGCCAAAATTATTTTTTTCTCATATCTCTGTGTGGAGCACTGGCTGCTGTCAGACTCCTTGTGCAAACAAAAATCTCACCAATATTTCTTACTGACACATTACAATAAAAGATTGAATTTTTTTAACTGGTGAAAATGAAAATGTTGTTATGCTTGCATGTGTAGAAATGTTTAAATCATGTGTGTTACATTTAAATCCGCGTTTGTGCCCCGCTCAGCCCGTACATGTGAAAAGCTTTTTACAGACCGCTTCCTTATTGGTAGGTAGCCAAATGCATACGAAGGAACAAAAACCAACTCTTTTAGGGATGCACCGAATGTTCGGCAACCGAAATTCGGCCGAAAATAGCAAAAAAATATATTTTGTGTTCAGCCAATAAGGCCGAATAATATGTACCGAACAATGACTAACGCGATCAAATAGAGGCACACACTAATGCAGCAAATATGTCGGCAGTGTGAAAGTATTTAAAACTATTAGAGAAAGACGCAGAAATCATTACAAGCACGAAGCACCGAAAGCGAAAGACTGTTTTGTGCTGCATCACATGTCTCCGATGAGATGAAGAGGTGGCTGATGCTGGTGGTTAGGCTACTGTATGATGATTGAAATCGCGAAATGGCCTCAAACGATTAGTAAATAAACTGCAGAATGTTATATTTTCTAATGCACGCACGAATTGCATGTATACTGACAGCGCTGCACGAGACTTGTTACTCGTCAGTTGCTCAGTAACATTTCTTTAAAGGGGTCATATGATGCTTTTTTAAAGATCATTATTTTGTGTATTTGGTGTAACAGAATATGTTGACATGCTTTAATGTTCAAAAAACACATTATTTTTCAAATACTGTACATTATTGTAGGTCCTCTATGCCCCGCCTCTCTCAAACGCTTCGTTTTAGAGGTCTGCGCGGGACTGTTTTTTCCGCCCGCAGGGGTGAGTCTAGAGCATTTTAAATGGGGGGGCCAGGCTGGGGCACTGCCTCACCCACAGTTTGAAAACCCCTGCTCTAGTAAAAGGCATGGTAGTAATGTGTTACAAGGTTTTTCATATATGACTGAGTCTCGTACCTCTCATTCTTCCAGGCTCCGGATCGTTCTCGCTGTCAGGGTCAGCTGACTGCTTCCTAGGAGTTCCTCCAATGAACGGAGAGCAGCCTCGCTATCACATGGGGGCTCAGGTATGACTCAGTCAGCATTCCTGCGGCCCGCTGCATGTCATCATCTCTGTGCATGAGTTTGGATCTCACTGGTGAATGATGTGCTTTTGTGTGTTGTTTGTTTGCCGTGCAGCTCTGCCTAAATGTCCTTTTCCTCTCTCTCTCTGGTAGGACGCTCAATCACGCTTCTCAAAAAGACTCTGTAGTACCAGAGAGAGCCGGGTGAGGAGCTCATCACATGCATGCTTGTGTTTGCCTCTGTCGGTCTCGCTTTTTAAGTGACTTTCACTGTGATCTTTACTCAGTTATGCTTTTTTGCAAGGATTCACTCTGCTCTGCTGATTATAATTAAGGCCTATTCATATCAAGAGCAATGTGTGAAGTGGCACATGCATTTTCTATGAGAAACATTCACACAAATGAACAAAGGTGAATTGCACATATGTGGTCTTACATACAAAATATAACCTATCTAAGCTCTTTGAGTGAAAGTGTCCAGAAAAATACTGTTTAAATGAAATCAAAACTTTAAATCTGCTAATACAAATTTCACATAAAATAAGTGTGAAATAAAATATTTCAAATATCAAATGTTTAACATTTTATTATCTAATAATACAGATTTTAGGCTACTTCAAATAAATGTGAAATATACATGTATCTTCTTGATTATAAAGATAAGACTAGTGGACTATTATTAGTATTAAATATAGTAAATAAGGTGCTGTGTAAATGTTTAAAATAATTCTATTTATTATCTACTAATACAGATTTCACTTCAATTAAGTGTGAGATATGAATATCTTTGTATAATGATAATAATAGTGGTTTATTATCATTAATAAAAATAATAGATAGTAATAAATAAAAAAATAATTAAAAGTGCTGTATAAATGTTTAAATTATTATTATAAAATGTGTATTGTTGTTAAAAATGTAAATTATCTCCCAATTCAGATTATTATTAGATTTCACTTGCTTTAAATAAGTGTAAAATAGCAATATATTGGTATAATGATATTAGTAGTAAAAATATTAGTAATAAAAATATAGTGTGGTATAAATGTTGAAATGATTATTTTTTTTTTACTATTATTATTATTCAACCATATATTTCACTTGCCGTAAATAGGAATATATCTTGATAGAATGATAATAGTGCTCTTTTGTTAGTAATAAAAAAATTGATCATTTTACAAAATAGCCTTTCTGCGTTACTTTTAAGTACAATGTGAGCAACGTGGCAAAATCCACTACAAACAGCAAAATGTGAAAATGTTCTCCCTCATGTTAATCCAAACTATAACTTTAAGCCAGATCATTGTAAATAACATCTTCAGCATAATGAGATTTTTTTTTCACTCAATGTGAACAGGCCTTATATTCTGGCGCGTATGCTAGTATTTTGTTTAGAGATTTCTGTATAGGACGACTTGTGTTTTTCTGGTTTTAACAGCAGTTTTCTTTGTCTGCAGACTAATGGTAGCTGGCAGGAGCAGAACACGCCACCCTCCGCCGCTTCACCCGGCAGCGATCACTCTGACAACTCGGACTGATGAGCTCCTTCCGCTGGCGTCCCGCTCCGATACCGGAGGACACACCAAATGACGAAAGAATGATGGTCACTCTTCTACCCAAATGCAGTTTTAGTTTTGTTTTTAGAAGCTCATTATCAGACTTGACATGAAACACGAGCAGAGATTTTCCATGTAAACCGTTCATAAAGCTGTTCTAATGACAATTGTCGTATTCCATTCAATACGGTAATTTACCTAAGAATGGGCCTCATTCATGAAGCATGATGTAAATTGTTTGTAAAATCGTAATTGTTTTTGCGTTCAGTTCAGTGCGAGCAGAACAAATTTCTGTCAAAATGTCTCACACACACACACACACATACATATATACAGTATATATATATATATATATATTTATATATATATATGTGTGTGTGTGTAAAATGCTAATTTACATAAAAAAGTTTTAGTTTTGCAAACAATTTATGCATTTGTTGAGTCGTTTGTTTCATGAATAAGGCCCTTTTCTCCGTTTGGATGAATGAGTGTGTTTGTGTGAGAGAGAAGAGCTGGATGAGTTCATGGCGTTTAGTTGCTGTCATGTATTTTATTTTAGTTTTATTTTCACTTTTCCACTACATTACAACTTCCACTGTTTCTTACTGCGATATCTGGGTGTTGAAAGAGGAACCTTTTCAACTGCATTAAGACTGCTTTCATTATAGTTATTATATTATTGTTATCACTGCTCTATATTGTTTATTCAAAGCTCAGATAGAATTGGCTTGGGTGATGGGGGCAATAGAGAAAAATCCAAAGATAGTTTTTTTTGGTGTGTGTGTGTGCGTTTCTCTTTTTTACTGGGTTTGTGTATGTATCAGTTATATGAATGAGGTGTGTTTGCTGTCTCTTATTTTGGATGCGATTAATCATTTGACAGCACTAAATAAAATATAATAGGATGAATTTCATAAATTCTGTCACGAGCATGTCTAAATTATATTTCAACTCTAAATCAAAAGAAATAAGGATTTTGTTTTCTTAGAGAAAATTAAGCCCATTTTTAAAGATTTTGATTGTATTATATATTATAATTTTTTTTACATAAAAGCCTATTTTTGCATCAAGGTTTCATTATGATACTGTAATATAAATATTATGACGTCATTATTTTAATGAAAACTTCCTATTACTGTAGTGCAAAAAAATCGAATTCTCAACTCTCCAAATAAAAAAAATAAGGATTTTTTTTCCTTACAGAAAATTGAGCAAATTTTTTATTTAATTAAGATTTTATGATACATAATATCATATTATTATATAATATATATATATATATATTACAGAAAAACCTTTTTTGCATCAAGGTTTTATTATATATTATGATGTCCCTATTTTCATGAAAATTTCCTATTACTGTAAGTTAAAAAAATCGAATTCTCACTTACTGTAGTGATAAAGATTTTTTTTTATTTGTATATTTTGTGTTGTATTAGAGTAAAGTAAACCCTAAATTACAATAAAGCAAAACATCCAAACATATAACACTTATGAGGGAATAATTAAGGAGAAAAATATGCTTTATTGTCCTGAAAATAATGTCAAAATGCAAAAGGAAGTTCTAAAAAATAGTTCTAAATAGACTTTATTTTCTTCATGCAAATTTTGAATTGCTTTTGGGGTGAGGACAAGTTTTCCTGAGATTCTGCCAATAATATTAGATTATTTTAATAGTCAACAGAGAAATTGTAAACCACAGTTTTATGCATTTTCGAGTTGTCTAATTTCTTTTCTCTGTATCTTCGCTCACATGCTGCTTTGAATGATGACGGGAAGCTCATTACTGACCCGCTCACTCATTTTGGAGTTGCAGTTCCTCATACTTTCCATCTGAGCTGCGCTGAGGCTGTTCCCTGTGGTTTTGCTCTCTGACTGGCTGGCCGCTTCTCTCGGGTGTGGCACGATCACTATTTCTACATGCTCATTGGCTATTTTTTCAGCTGGCACAGCTACGGACAGCTCTGATTGGTTGCCACTGGAACGACGGTTCAGTGCATGCTGGGTACAGGAGAACGAGCGCTGTCGAGGTGCGGGTTGTGGAGACAGGAAGTGAGGCGTTGCCGCTCGAGTAACGTCCTGGGTCATCTCCCTCTCCTCGTCCTCCGCTTCTGATGTTACTTCCTGGAGAGTGCTGATAGGCCGAGATGGGCGGCCAAGAATCCTGGGGCTGACCAATGCCGTTGCTGATTGGTTGGGGGCTGGACGCCAGTTCTGGGGGGAGGAGCATTGCGTTCTTCCCATCTGCCAATCACTGTTGAAAACAAAACATGAGAACATGCTGGTAAAATTGTATATGCAATTGGAAGGAACAGCTGCAGAGCTGACTTACGTAGGCGGAGGTGTTGACATCCCTCTGTGACTGATGACCCCCGAAAACGAGGCACTTCTTCCGGGCAGACATGGAGGTGAAGCGACCCAAGGAGAATAGATGTACGTGCGATCGTCCCAGAGCACCTCAGTGGCGGGATCTAGAGGAACTGGCGCCTTGTGAACTCTGTGAGCCAATAGGAGCTCGAGGACCTGATGATGTAATCCCTCTCGAGCCACATCCAGTGGCCGCCACCCCTTGCAGTCAGAGAGATCTTGATTGGCCCCGTTGAGCAACAGGAATCGTGCGGTGTCATAGCAACCGTGGAGAGCCGAGAGAAACAAAGCCGTTTCACCCTATAGAAAAAATTATAATTTTATTCCATTATTATTGGTGGATTATGATAATTCATTCATCAATCTATTGTTCATTCTCTCTATCATTCAATCTACATATAAATCATTCAACCATTTGTTCTATCTATCTATCTATCTGTCTGTCTGTCTGTCTGTCTGTCTGTCTATCTATCTATCTATCTATCTATCTACAGTGCCCTGATGGTGGATTTTCAATGCTTTAGCTCTTTTCTTACAGCCACTTTCTATCTTGTTCTGCACATCATAACTATATTCTTTGGTTTTACTTGTGATGGATGATTAAGGGAATTTGTCCTTTGTGTTCCTCATATTTACAATTCTATGGATCAGGAAATCATGGCTGGACAATTTCATGCTCCTAGTCAGTCACCCTGGTGTGCTAAAAAATGTAAATATGAATGGGAATATACTTCAGAGATATTTTACTCATAAGAATTTCTAGGGGTGCCAATAATTGTGGCCAGCATGCATTGGAGAAAAACATTTATTTCATCATAAAATGTTCTCCCCACTTTCAATTGTTTTACTTCAATGAAAGGTTAGAATTTTTTGAATGAAAGATCAAAAAGATCAACGATGCAGATTTATTTTCACAGCTGCCTTTGCACATATTTACCAAGGGTGCATCTATCCATCCATCCATCTACCGGAATTCAAATTCTGAATGGCGCATAACCCTGATTTATTTGATTGGTTATAAAAAAAGGTGACTTTTTCTTTACCTTATGGTCCTGTAAGTCCACTGCAGCACCGTAGCGAATGAGAGTCCGTGCCAATGGGAGGTGGTTTACTGAGCATGCCCAGTGGAGGGCAGATCTCCCTGGATGAAGAGAACGGGAGAGAGAGAGAGAGAGAGAGAGAGAGAGAAGAGATGCAAGAATGAAAGGGAATTCTAGCTGATATATGCTAGCTGGCTAAAGAGAGCAGACAGTTTAGTGCTATGGGCTAGAGTTGCCAAGTTTTCTGCAGTTTAATATTCTGTGACATTCCATAAGGACGTATTAACTATGTTTTTGGGCCATTAAATGCTTATTAAAGTAATAGTTCACACAAAAATGAAAATATTGTTGTTGTTTACTCGCCTTCATGTCACTTCAAACGTTGGGCCTTTATACATTTATAAATCGCACAAACAATCAGATTTGGAACATACAATCAAAAGTGAACAACAAATAGAATGAGAGAGAGAGAGAGAGAGAGAGAGAGAGAGAGAAGAGATGCAAGAAGGAATTGACAACAAACAGGGCAAGGGTGATCAGGAAATGGCGTGTTGTGGCGCACAGAGGGGCCAGAAAGTAGTGGACGAAGCCAAAAAAAAAGACATGCAGGCATGTGTTATGAGAAGGGAAAACAGGAAGCGAACATTCGAGACAATAAAAGAGGGAACATTTTGAGAGAGAGAGAAACAGAGGCATGGAAGGTTAATACATTATTTCCACATTGACCGGGCGCTACAGCACATTAACTGTGTTCTGAATCAGACGTGTTTATCAGGGGTGCTGGAGTGACGTGTGAGGGAAGCAGGAGGAGACAGAGGACGGCAGTGGGGAGTTCAGGACAGGACAGAGACAGTGACAAAGACAAAACCAGAAAGGGCAAAACACATTACTCCCCAACTGCAAAAGAAACAAAAACTATTCCTGTAATGTATTCTTGAAGACCACATTGATTGAAGGGACTCGTTCCACATGCAAGGGTTAATGGCGCTCTTACCCGTGTGGTCGGTGTTGTTGACTGGCACTCCGGCTCTCAGGAGCTCCAGAACCACTCGGTCAAGCCCGCTTCTGACAGCTCGGATCAGCACGACCGAGCCGTCCGGACCGCACCACTGCACCGGAGCGGCCTGAGAGAAGACAGCACAAATGATCAGCTCTACAGAGAGAATTTTTCAAATGCATAAGGATGCAGCATGCAGAAATCTTTTTAATAACAGATATCATGAGCGTTGTAGTATAATACGTTTTTAAATGTGCAGGCAGATTGTTCAAATGAGATAAACTCACATTTCTTGGTGGTCTTTGAGGTGTAGGAACCGCATTTCTTTCCCATCCTCTAGGGGGAGCTAAAGGTATAACAGAGAAACACAGTTGAAGCACAGTAGCGGAGTCGCATTTCTCCTCCCATCTGTGCTTAATAGTATGCATGATTAGAATTGGCACTTTCTCCATTCATGATGCATTGAAACTAATATGCAAATGTTATTCAGATGCACATGATTTCGAAGGTTGGATGTTAAAACAGGTTTTTCAACATGAATCTGTTGAAAGATTTGCTGGAATCATCACTCGGAAATGTTCACAGAAGTTCCCACATGGCATTTACATACTTTTAAATGTTTTAGTAAAAAAATGATGTATATATTTATACAGATTCATTTAATATATTATCTAAATGAATCCAAAAACTCTGCTTTTAAAATAGTCTTTGTTAATTGAAGTTGCAAAAAATAAATAAATGAAAATAAAATATAAATATTAAACTTAAAATTTGCCTTGGTAACTAACTAAATTTCTCCTCCCATCTGTGCTTAATAGTATGCATGATTAGAATTGGCACTTTCTCCATTCATGATGCATTGAAACTAATATGCAAATGTTATTCAGATACACATGATTTCGAAGGTTGGATG